AGAGAGAGAGAGAGAGAGAGAGAGAGAGAGAGAGAGAGAGAGAGAGAGAGAGAGAGAGAGAGAGAGAGAGGGAAAATCCCGTTGAACATTTCAAAATGAATAGAACCACGCCTCATCCCTCATTTGCTACGACTGAAGAAAAAAAAAAACACGATATGATCATCGTTCCCACGGGCTCGGCCGCGGAGCTCCATGTAGACGCGCATGATGCGCGATATGACCGATGAGGATGTCTCTCAACTCCTTTCCCAAGGCCATGGCGCACACTGCATCGTCCTCTGGTGGTGGCGGAGGAACGGAAGGCCGTCTGGGTGTCACACGCCGTCTGCGGCGGGCCCTGCTCCCGCTGTCACATTCATCGCTGCTGCTGTCATTGGACAGCAGTTCCGAATCAATCTCCACTTTGGAATGGACCATGATGTTGTGGAGGATGCAGATGGCCATGGACTCTTTGCAAAGAGTTTTCATGTTCGCGATCTGTCTCCTCATGAAGTTCGTCCACCCCTTTTTAAACCTCCCGAATGTGCGCTCGATGCATGACCTTGCTGACGTGTGGCAGTCGTCGTACACTTGCTCAGCCGGTGTCCTGATGCTCCCTCCAACGGGTGTCATAATCCATGGCAGCTGCGGATAACCGGCGTCACCCAGGAGATACCTTCACACCCTCCGTCCATCACGAAGGACCTCACTCCCCGTTGCGAACACCCCTGTGCCTCGTTGTGCCTGTCGGTAAAGAGGGGAGACTCGGAGGACACGACTATTGTGAACGGATCCGGGACTGCCCACAAACGCACTCACAATACGACACTCATGATCGCACACCACTTGCGTGGCGACGGAAAACTGACCTGTTCGATCGTAATAGCACTCCCCCCTCTCATTCCTAGGTTTCTCGATGTACACATGGGTGCAATCAATTGCCCCGATGCAACCGGGAAATCCTTTCCGTTCGAAAGCATCAAGTGTTTCTTGAAGCTTACGATCAGTTGGGAATTGAAGTAGATGGCCGTACTCCTTGATAAGGGCATTAGCGACATCCTCGTTGCTGCGCAGGGCGCTCGCAAGTCCCAGGCCCAGGGAATGCGCCGATTGCCTGTAGAACCCTCCAGTTGCCCAGCGGATGAGTGCGCAAGCGAATTTCTGGGTTGTCGGTACGGGCTGTCTTCAGTTTGTCTCCTGCCTCTCGATATGAGGAGCGATGCGAGCCAGTACCTCCTCGTACAACGGGCGGGGGAGTCTACAGAAACGCTGGAACACCTTCTCGTGCCGACCGCTAGTCCTTTGGAGATCCTCCCACACACCTCCGCTGCGTTCCCGAACCCAAATCCGTGGTCTGCTATCCATACTCCGACCAACCATGGTAGCGACCATGGATGTCAAAGAGATCCCATGCATCACCGCACCGGCGAGCAGCAAAAGAGCGTTGGATATGCCTGGCACGCACGTCAGCACCACAACCGCCGCTTGGATGACGGCCATCGCCACGACGTTCCTGTGGTTCATCCAATGCAAGAGGATGAAAACCAGGAGGAACGTTGAGTCATCCCATTCGTCCATTTGTGGATCCATGCCTTCGCTGCACGTGTCGGCGTCGTAAAGAACGTGGGCAGTCAGCAAGTGAATACAGCAGTGATGGTGTGCACCGGATGTGAGGCGGTGGACGACGCCCAGGAACGTGTGTGAGAGGCCAACGGTCAGAACCCGATTCGAAATCCTCTGGCCGTGGGCTTAGATAGGCCAACGGTCGGAACACATATCCATGCGGTCCCAATAGGGGCCCGATGTCTCTTCCCAGGCCAGCTTCGCAGTTCCACTGCTTTGCTTGCCGCGCGGATGGGGCAATGCATCGCTCAATGCCACTCACCGCGTCGCCCCGGTTCGTGGTGTGGTCCTTCGAAAACCACACAGACACTACCAGACTTTCCTTTTCGGGTGTACCACACTCCTACATTCCTATAAAGGAAAAAAGTGTGTCGACTTTGCCGCAAAACGCTCTAGGATCCCCGGAAAAACTTTTCCAAGCTTTCCAAAATCGTTGGCCCGGTTTCCATGGGCAAACCACTTTCCCATCCGCAAAGCTGTGGGTTCCTTGCCTATGTGAAAACACAAATTGATGTTTTTCCAAGCTGCAATCTTTGGTCTGTGGGGTCCTGGAAAAGGGTTTGCGGAATAAATTTGACCTTTTCTAGGACATTTGCGGCAGGTTGTGGGGTCCTGGAAACAGCTTTGCGGCAAAGTTTTTCCTTTCCGCGGTCCTGTGGGGTCCTTGCCTAAGCTTGGACCCCACAGGTTTCCGCCTTGGAAAAACTTTGTCGCGGAAAGTTTTCCGGTACCCCACAGGCTTGCGCAAAGTCCGTGGAAGGCCGTTTTCGTTTTCCAAAAGCCTGCTTCCGGAACCCCACACACCCGGAAACGCGGCCTCGGAAACGCCCCCTGTCGTGTTTTCACTCGGTTTCCGACCTGGAAACCACCGCGGGAGGAAACGTCGCCGCGATTTTGTGCAGGGTAGCGAGGGCACGGTGAAGTGTAGCCTTCAACCTTTCCAAGGTCGCGGACGAAATGTGGACCTCCCTGTGTCCGTTCGCCATTCCGACGAGGACCTGGTGCACGCTCGAGCAGGATTCCTTGTCGCCCACTGTGTACGACCGTTTGAAAGGGTACCGGTCCCACTCGCGGAGGGAAAAAAATAAAAAACGCTCTTTCGGTCCGTTTTTAAAATTTCGAATTTCGAACTTCCCCTTTCATGTGCAACCTTGCTGCGGACATGCAGGCGACGTGGGCCAGCCGTGTCAGCTGCGGGTATCTGCTCTGCTGTGGGAGAGTACAGACAGTTCGGCGACGCACGGCTGGATCGCAGCAGCCATATCCAAACGTCGGCCAATCGCCTTCCCATGCAGAGAGTTGGATTCCTCCATCGCCAACTTCGGCCTTGGTCCTCGCTTGCCACCTCTGCACATGGTTTGGGTCGTCGCCTGCTTCATGTGGCGAGGGTATCGGATGGCAGGTCTGCGGAAAGCCATGCATTCCATGCATTCCATGCATGGACTTTAGCAGGCCGACGTCTCGACTATAGCAGTCGGCTATGGTGCGCCCATGCACCTGCAAGCGAGGTTATGACGTTGTTGCGCCCCAGCCGTTCGCCTGTCATATCCGGTTGTTGGAGAAGCTCGTCACAGGCGAACAGTGACATCGCCCCCGTCTTGCCTAGGCTTCCTCCTCGGGTGACGGTCCGAGCCGCGGAAGTGCGAGGGTGGGATGTGGTGGATGTGCGAGGGGCCGGCAGACAGCCCATCTTCTCGTTTGTGCCACTGCCATTTCCGTTCCAGCTTCCTGGACGTGCACCGCCGGACGCGTCGTTCCCCGTGCACCATCGCGGAGCGTGTGCAC